ACTCACCAAAGACATGGAGGCGATCAGTACCCAAGGGCCATATGCAAGGCCGATGCAGCGAGGATAAAGTAAACAATATGCAGAAGTAGAATCTGTGGCTCGAGCAAGAAAATAAAAAATACTATCAAAAGGGGAAAACACAAACCTTAGAGGGAAATGTGGGTTCACCAAGAAAATGGAGGCGAGCCGATGAAATCTCCGTCACTGCATGCGAACCTAAAGCAAAGTAAATACAAATGTGCATCAAGATATATTAACATGTGACTTGGGATTTGCTTCATCCTTCGAACCCAACACTTGAATTTGTAACCTTCAGGGGTGAGCAATTTATGAAAGCATATCTCTCTCTAATTTATCAAATTCTTCTTTCTTATAATTGTAGATTCTGTACAATAATTCGAATGAATAATTGGAAGAGGGTTGGCCTGCTCAAACCTGACATGATGTGTGTGGAGAGAGAGAGAGAAAAAAAACCATATCTCAGCACCAACACGATGTTGGGGGGAGCCTTCTTCAAGAATCACCAACCTATTTATTTTCGTAACATATGCTTTTATCGCAGCTCTATCCAGTGGCCTAACTGATCGAAGGTTGATCACCTGTTAAAACATATCAGTAGAAAATAAGTTAGTATTCATGGCATGTACCATGTAGAGTAAAATCATATCGATAGTTACACTGAGAATATATTTTAGAAAAGAAGTTACCTCAGCACTGATTCCTTCCTCCGACAGTATTCAGCAGCCTGTAAACAAACTGAGCATTATAATATGTCAAAATAAAAATGCTGAGAGAGTAATTCAATCCAGCAACAGAACATTCCATATTAGGACAAAAATACAAAAGAAAACCACAATTTCCAATGAAATCATTGCACACACCAGAGCAAAGCTGATATTGTTATAAAAATGTACTTCTTGCTACAAGGACAAAACCAGAAAAGACCATGTGCAAAATAAACTTTCTCGTCAATCTAGCTGAGGGCCTGTTCATATGAAGAAGAGAAGGATCAACAAAGGAAATAACATATCAAGAAAAGAAAAGAAAAAATATTAGATGTAAATATGTTTGCTCATCGATTACCTTCTGCCTTTTTGATAAACATATTATATTTTAATTTGCTCCGTTGTTTTCTTTTTCCTTTTTACCAAACTGCCATATATGGTACACGAAGAAGCATTTACCTGAAGGCATTAATATCTTTTTCAGCTTTTTAGTCTTACTGAATACTCCTGAAGGAGTCAAGGACTTGTTTGCTACTGTATATTAATAGGAGTAGGTAAAAGGCCAGTGTGGGTGAAAATATTATAAGGACAAATACATTAAATTCAATGACAAAATCAAGCTTTCAAATGATGCTTATGTGGTATTGCAACGAACTCCGACATCCAAATGTACTGTAAAATAAAAAAATTAACATCTGCTGTGAGCGAGCACAAGTATCGATCAATTTTACAATTGCTGATGCTGATTTAGATCCTAAGAGGCTATATTTCTTTATTCAACTGATATAAATAAATTAAATAAGATGAGAGTGAGACTACATACATAAAGCTGAATGTGCAAGATCGACATCATCCCCTAAGTGCTTCTCTTCTCAACTGCTTCCTTCTGGATGTTTTGAATGCTCAATGGAAAAAAAAATTCAAAAATACATGGTCAGATAATTGCAACCTCAGTTTATTTATAGAAGAATGTCATTGAAAGAATTGCATCCAACCAAAAACAAACCTTAATTTGAGACATATAGTTTGATGCCTTACCTACAGTTGTAACCTTCTCAGCAAGTATGCCAATCTGCATGTTCGAACGGAATTTTCTATCGGAAAGCAAGCAGAGGTTTATACATCAGAAACTTCTATGAGAAGCAAGCAGAGGTTATACATTATATAGAGGAGACTAATAGAGAGTACAAACTCGATATTTCTTGCTGGTCCATACTTCCATTGTCGGCATGAAAATGAAGCGCTGCCACCGTTGCCGGCTCCTCCAAATGCCCATCAGTGTAGGCATGCTGGAGAACATACAGTACTGCACGAGTCAAACCGAAGAAGCAAAGAGCGTAGGAAAATAGACAATTGAATACTGAAAGAAAGGAGAAGATAACCACCATATATGTTATTTTGCACAGTTCATTACATGAGTCAAATTACAATGGTTATATTCCAAGGCCATCTGACAGTCCCTATTTTACAAAGCATGGCTTTAATGAACATACCAATCAGCTACTCTTAACGTTCCACATCACCTAAGCTAGCACTGATTGCAGAAAAGTTACAATATTATTTAGAGGTGCTAGTTCAAACTATGACGAATTATTTGCATGGCTTATCATCAGCAGTTATGTTTTTACTGCCTTTAGTATTTTAATTAGGCTTCATTCAGAACTACTGCTGCACATTAAGTATGAGAAGGTAACATCAGGCAAAATATCACTCTAGGCACCGGTCAAGTTTCAGTTGAGAATTCACACATTATATAAGAAGTATATGTGATGATAGATTTGAATCTGAAATGAGATCATGTATACCTTGTAAAAACATCATCCGCCAAAGGGGAAACTATCCCTTCTAACGTCAAAGTACCTACAATCAGTCGACGTGAAATATCACTAAATAGATCAAATAGATAGATTACAACCTACAACTCAAATAAATGGATCACACGTCTTTGCTTGAGAAGATTGTACTGCCAAAAAAAGAAAATCTTGAAAAGAAACACCAATATCACTAAACTTTACCCCAACACAATTGCAGATCCTATGCCACTTCTTTCATTATAATCAAACAAGAATTCAGAATATACCATAATGCAAATTACAAAAATTAGGGAGTAGCTTGAGGCCTGACTGAGTTGTAGGGGGAAATTAGGGCAGTAGGGAAAGGTAGCAAGCTAAGAGGAACATCTGCGCGTGGTGCTCACATATTGGGTGCTCAACATCGACGTCGTAGGGGGCGGGTTGCTGACATCCACCTGTACCTCCGTGTAACCCCCGACCTCCTCCTTGTCCGCCGCCGTATCTCCTTCCACAATGAAGCCTACGCCGTTCTCCTCATCTCCTACGCCCCGACTCTCTGCTCCGACTGCGCCCATGGTTCACCACGACCACGAGCGCCTGCTCCGTCCACTCGCACGCGATCTCGCGCGGGGCTCTTCTAGTTGAACCCACCTCGTTCTGGCCACCGTCAGCGGAGGGGGTGGGTAGGGGACGTCTGCCGGAGCACGGACTAGGAGCAGCCACACTCACGGTCGTTGCTACCAAAATTTGAAGGAGGAAGATGGGGGAGGGGAGGTGGATACCCGATGCGCTGCGCGGCGAGGCACGGTGGCGACCCCGGCCATGGGTCTCGATCGATCTGCCTCGCGGAGTGGAGGCAGGTCGCTGACGGGAGGGAGGAGAAGAGGACGGTGTGCGTCTGCGGCACGGGTAGGGGAGGCCAGCGGCGGCTAGGGTTTGCGGGACGCGATTGGACTTTCTCTCGGGGATTATTTTCGCTGTTTTTTTTCATGCGTGCGAGGGGATGCGAGGGCACGAGGGCCTGGCTAATTTTCGTAGGTTAACCGTCATAGATTTTTTTAGGACGATTTTATGTCGCTGAACCGTAGTGTTTCACAACAGGCCTCGTGGTAGCCTGCCGTTTTTTTTTTGGTCGGTCTCGAGGGAGGAAGGGGGGATCGCTGGGTAGCGGGAGGTGGGATGGAGGACGAAAATTAACCGTCTCTGGTGGGACGAAAATTGACCGGCTGAGACTACCAACTGCTCCATTAGGAGTAGAGATGTTGAATCTTCCTCCTCTTGATACTATCCTCAACATAACTTTCGGCATAGTATATAGAGATAGATTTCCTCTTTGTTAAAGAAAATTAGCCAGATGAACTTCATTCCCTTGTTTTTGAATTTTGAAGCTTCCTCCTCTTGCTTTTATTACTTCGACATATATTGAGATAGATTTCCACTTCGTTAGAGAAAATTAAGATGAGATTGCATCCAGTCAAGGAATTTGGAAGAATATTCAAATGTAATCTCAACCTAACTAGCATAATGGCATATAGATATATAGAGTAGCAAGCTTGTGTTGCGATTAAGGAGGCTAATTAAAACAAGCCGCTTCCACAATGTTTGTTTGACAAGCTAGTGTCGACAAGCATTATTTTATTTTATCCCAGCAATGCAAAAGAAAGAAACAATACAAGAAGCATGAGCACTACAAGCCAGGTGCTCTTTGTCGACGGGTAAAGTATAAGTTTTTTTTTCCTTGATGGGAAGTAAAGTGAAAGATAGATGATGAGGAGGCACAGATCTTCTAGCACCCAAATCAAATCAAATCAAAATTTAGTGTACGTGGCGTACGGTGGCCACTCACTATGCTACTACTTGCAACAACGTACATGTTGTTATCCCACAAAAAAACCGTACATGTTGTACAATAAATAACATGCAACACCGGGGCAGTTCGTACACCGCCAAGGGAAATCACTTACTCGTACATGTTGCAAAACGCCACCTGCTGCTCTTCCTCCTCTTGGCTCTTCTCTTGCCCGAGGCGCGTGCGGCTTCGTGCCACCCCGATGACCTCCGCGCGCTGCGGGGCTTCGCCGGGAACCTCAACAGGGGTGGAGTCCTCCTCTGCGCCGCATGGTCCGGCGCCATGTGTTGTGGGTGGGATGGCGTGGGATGTGATGGTGCCACCGGCCGTGTCACGGCGCTACGCCTCCCTGGGCGCGGCCTTGTGGGGCCCATCCCAGGAGCCTCCCTCGCGGGCCTTGCGCGGCTGGAGGAGCTCGACCTCGGCTACAACAGCTTGCAGAACATCTCAGGGGCGATCACTGTGTTGCGTGGGTGCCAGAACCTCACCACGCTAATCCTCGCTAGGAATTTCGGCGGCGAGGAGCTACCCAACGTTGGTATTATTGGTGGCTTCAAGAGCCTCGTGGTTCTGGACCTTGGTGATTCTGCTCTTAGTGGTAGGGTTCCGAAATGGTTGTCTCAATGCAAGAAAATGGAGGTGCTTGACCTTTCCCGTAACCAATTGGTCGGCACTGTCCCATCATGGATTGGTAGGCTTGACCACCGTTGCTACTTGGATCTCTCCAACAATACATTGGTTGGCGAGGTACCCAAGAGTTCTAAGGGCCTCAACACTACTAGATGTTCACCGGACATTGATTTCACTAACATGTCACTGTATCTGAAACGTAGCGGAAGAAGTAGACATCGCCGACAACATAAACATGCCCCAAATGTCATAGCTGGGACCAACAACATTGTCAGATCTGGTAGCAACAACGTTCTGGCTGGGAACGACAACACTATAATTTTTGGGAATGACAACGCCGTATCTGGGAGCTACCAGGTCGTATATGGGAATAACCATGTCGTAACTGGGAGCAACCATGCCGCATCTGGGAGCAACCATGCCGCATCTGGGAGCTACCATGTCGTGATTGGGAAACACAATATCATATCCGGGACTCACAATGACGTAGGTGGGAGCAAAAATATCGTATCCGGTAGTAAAAATGTTGTATCTGGGAGCCATAATACCGTGTCCGGGAAGAACCATTTCGTAACTGGGCACAACAAAGTCGTAACCTGAGGTTAATGGATGTACACATCATAGCATAAGTGTGTGCTGCAGCGTTCGCCCGTCCATGTTGACACAGGATGTACTTGCATGCATGACAAAGAATAAATAAAGAGACTCATATATTCAGAGCAAAACTGATCTATCAAGAATTTTAATAGCTTGAATGACATATCCAAATTAAACTCATGTATGTATGTATGTATGTATGTATGTATGTATGTATGTATGTATGTATGTATGTATGTATGTATGTATGTAAAAGGAAAAGGAGATGTGTCCCTTCCCTCTGCATGCCACTCACACGACTCACAAGACTTTACTTACACATAGGCAAAGAATGCATGTCCTCTTCCCAGGGTTATGCTTTGCTGCAAATCCATGCCGACCTGCCATACATACCCTCGGTCATTTCATGCCATGCACTGCACTGCACGCTTTCCATCATTGTTCTTCTCACAAGTATGTACGTAGTAAACAATGAGTAGATACAACTCCCAACAATATCAATCTCCATCTGAGCCATTGCGGACAAATGCTGCCTCCGCAGCAGCAGCCACAAACAGTAGGTCGGAGCCACGCCTGTCGCATCATGCACCGCACCAGGGACAGCTGCGTGGCCAACACGCTATGGGACACGTGTAGCGTTAGGATCGGCCGGCCTTAACAAGATGCATGGTGGTGCCACAAAGCTGTTTGGAACAAGTTGGTGGTGGTGGTGCTGCAACACTAGAAACCGCACTGCTGCAACACTGGAAAGTGTTGTTCCAAATCGTTTTCATGACTGTCCATGAGTCTCTCGTCACACCCTCAAGCTTGAAAACAACATTACGTAAAGCAACAACAGAGGAGGATACCCTGTTAAGGGGGATATCCTGTATATGTCCTCGTCTGCTCGGATGCAAATTGTTAATTATAACACTGTCAGCCATGTCAAGAGAATTTTTGGTGGAAATGGTGAAAACCACGGTTAAACTATCTTTTGAAGTTCCAAAAAATTCTCAAGAAAATACAGTATGTCGAAGAGATGCCTTTCTATAGACATGGTAAATTCCAAGTTCGAACATAAATTTATCTACCAAGTATGAAAAACAAAGAAATTCAAGAATGAATAATATCGAATATTATGCATAGTATCACACTAGTATCATATGCATGATACTAGTGTATGATAATATGTAATGGGTGGTATTATAAACTAGTATCATCCATATGATACTAGTCTATCACACAACCTTCACAAAGCATAATATCATAAAGTGAAAATCTTATTAATTGTTTGTAGAATCCTAATAAGAATTTGTGGACAAGATATATTTGACACTATGTTTTCTCAATTTACATGCTATGATATGGCATCATATTATCATACTCCCTTTGTTTCTAAATATAAGACCTTTTAAAGACATATTTTGGAGAATTGTGGCTATCTTTCCGTTTAACTGGACTACACGTACGCTGGATAGCCACAATCGAACGGAGAAATGAACCAGCTGTGTGCTACGCCAGCCAGCTACCGGTAGGATGGTAATTCCCCGTGGACTTAACTTTAGTTTTTCTCTAGAAACTTACAATCTACTCATCGTCTGTCGTATTTTAATAGTTTCAATTTTGGAGAAAGATGAGACGCTTGGACAAAGATGGTGTAAATAGAAAGACTAATCCTTGCGTCAGTAGTAGGCCAGTTTAAGATACGAAGAGACAAGCATGAATGGGCCACGACAAGTAAAATATAAGCCACCCATGAATTGCCACCCACGAATTTCAGTGGATCAGCCACTTACTTGTAGTACGTGGCCTGGCCACTCACTACCACTTGCAAGCCACACACTATAAGACACCATGTATCACCCAAGTAGTTTGTACACCAAGAGCACTTGCCAATCACTCGAGCAGAATGAATCCCATGGCCAAATGCTACCTGCTGTTCTTCCTCCTTTTGGCGGTTCTTTTGCCTGAGGCGCGCGCAACTTCGTGCCACCCTGACGACCTCCTTGCGCTGCTGGACTTTGCCGGGAGCCTCAACGGTGGGGGTGTCCTCCTCCGTGCCACGTGGTCCGGTGCCACATGCTGCAGCTGGGAAGGTGTGGGCTGTGATGCCGCCAGCGGCCGTGTCACGGCACTACGCCTCCCCAGGCGAGGCCTTGGGGGGGCCATCCCAGGAACCTCCCTTGCAGGCCTTGCGCAGCTTGAGGAGCTTGACCTCAGCTCTAACAACTTTCACAACATCTCAGGGCTGCTCGCCGTGTTGCATGGGTGCCAGAACCTCACCACGTTGATCCTCACCAAGAATTTTGGTGGTGAGGAGCTACCCGGTGATGGTATTATTGGTGGGTTCAAGAGCCTCAAGGTGCTGGCCCTTGGTGACTGTGCTCTCAAGGGCAGGGTTCCAGAATGGTTGTCCCAATGCAAGAAAATGGAGGTGCTTGATTTGTCCCGCAACCAATTGGTCGGCACCATTCCATTGTGGATTGGTCAGCTTCACCACCTTTGCTACTTGGATCTCTCAAACAATTCATTGGTTGGCGAGGTACCTAAGAGTTTGACACTACTAAAGGGCTTCGCCACCGTTGGGCGTTCAGAGGGCATGACTTTCACTAACATGCCATTGTATGTGAAGCATAACAGAAGCACACTCGGACGACGACTTAACGAGCTCCTAAATGTCATAACAGGGACCAACAATGTTGTGAGATTCGGGAGAAACAATGTTGTATCCGGAAACGATAATACTGTCATATTTGGGGATGAAAACACCGTATCTGGGAACAACCATGCGGTATACGGGAATCACAACACCGTATCTGGGAACAACCATGTCGTATCTGGGAGCAAGCATGTTGTATCTGGGAGCAGGCATGGTGTAACCGGGAGTAGCAGTGTCGTATCTGGGTTCAACAATGGCGTATCTGAGATCAACCATGTCGTATCTGGGAGTAACAATATCGTATCTGGGAGCAATAATGTTGTATCTGGGATGAACCATATCGTAGTTGGGAATAACAAAGTTGTATCAGGAGCTTAATTTTATATATAATTAAGCCCTTATATATACATATTGCCTCCTCTTGAACTTCTCAACTATCTGAGGAGTTGAGATGAGATTATGTTCAGCCTTTGTAGTTTGTTTTTCTGCTACTATCCTAGGCCATGAGATACTATTCGATAAATAAGGTACATAAGTTGCCACACGAGATGTGCCTGCCTATGCGTCGCATATGTTGTAATAATCGAATCTTTATGGTCCATGTATTGTGTATGGAGAAATATATTATGGTTTGGCTGGTATTGTGTATCGGGAAAGACGTGATCTCCAAGCTGGTGGTGTGTGGCAACTTATTATTCCTTGCCCTCTTGGAGGTGTTGTCTCTCCTTGTTTTATAGTATTGTGCTTTAATTCATTCATACATCAAGGGCTTGTTCGGTTGCCTGCATCGTTTTTTACTTTGCATACTTGTCCCAGTTGGGCCTGACTGAGCAGATGCAGGGTAAAAATTATGTTGTGCACATCATTTGGTAGGCTGCAAATAGGTTGGCTGCATTGGGGAAGCAATTTTTGTCTGGCGTTCGGAGGCCTGCATTGGTTGGGTTGATGCACTACACCGGGTTTGATTGTATACACTAGACATGGTTAAGAATTAACAGCTACACATGATACATAGAGTTACACTAGAGTGCCTCGATGACAATCGTGGACGATGGTCGCCGCACCGCGTCCGACGCGATGAGCATGGAGTCGCGGGCAAGCAATCCCATCGGCGGCATGGCATACTACTTGCTAGCATTGTCGCCATAGGGGAAATCCATGAGAAGGGACGAGAAGGAGGGCGCCGAGGCAGAGGGCGGTGAGGATAAATACAGTGCACACGCCATGGCGGTCTTAGTGTAGTAGGACGCGGAAGAGGAGGCCGCGATGCCGACGATGGCGGTAATGTAGTAGGATGTGGGAGGGGGCTGAGAGGAACTCGGTTGGAATGCCAGTGTAGTAGGACACGGGAGAGAATGCAGAGAGGAATGACATCGGCGACAGCGCCAGTGTGGTAGGACACTGGAGAAAGGCCGGGAGGAAAGACGTTGTTAGGGATATACCCCACGGTGTGACCCGGCCGGAAAGTGGCAACTCAACGATGTCCTGGCCGATGGGCCAAAGAGAGCAACAAGGCCCAGAAGGCGACTTACAAAAGGCCGGCTTAAGAGGGATAATCATTGGGCCGGCTCATCCAAGAAGAGGCAAGACCTGGCATGGAAAGCAAGACCCGGACTAGTATCTGGCTTGTAATAGAAAATAGACTAGTCTTAATCCTACTAAAACTCTACATGTAAGCCAGCGCCTTCAACTTATATAAGAAGGGACAAGGCATCCCAAGAGGGTAGGTTAAAAAGAGACAAGTCAATAGCTCTCGAGATAGAGGTAGGGAAACATCGCCCTTGTAACCGAGATCATCATCATCAATAGCAATCAAGCAGGATGTAGGCTTTTACCTCCACCGCGAGGGGCCGAACCTGGGTAAAACTTGCGTCTCTCGATTCCGACCAACCCCGTTCAAGCTACTATCTAGCTGCGATGGCCTCGCGACTAAGTCGTTTTTCGAGGACATCTGCCGTGACAAAACCACGATGATGTCGTCAGTGTAGGAGGACGTAGGAGAGGAGGCCGAGAGGAATAACGTCGGCGGTGACGTCAGTGCAGTAGGACTCATGAGAGCAGGCCGAAGATTGAAATATAAATCTGCTTGTCTACGGTCGTCGAAACAGAAAAAGTACAACACGAAAATCATGTGAAACTGCAAGATGAAGCTACTGGACAAAGCAAATTTCAAATAATCGACCATGCGTGATGACTTTGGCAAAATTCATACAATATGTTAGAGTTGTGTCGAATATTATTGTACAAGTTAGGTTACAGTTGGACTTGGAGTCGTACGGTGTGTAGACAGAGTAGGAGTCGTGTCCAAGTAGGACACTTGTATTCTAGGCCTCTCATATATAGCGGGGGTAGACACACGATGTAA